AAACAAACAAACAAAAATCAGAAAAACGTAGAGAAATCAACAACAGCAAGAACAGAATCACCACCACCAGTTGTGAACTGACTGTATTACATGCAGACCTCCTCATTCTGGGGAGAATGACCTATCAGGTAAAAGGCCACCCCTCCCCCCCATCCCCTTGGCTTAAGCTCCAATTCTGACCATGACACACACACCCCCCAACCTTACTTAGACTGAGCTACAGTTTAGTGGCCCTCACTCAGCCCATTACTGTTTCCGGGCAACAAAGCTAACTCGCAGGGATTTCAGGAAGAGATATTAATTTTAATGATTGATTCAAAATATTTCCAAGCCTGCCTTTCTCCCAACAAAGTTGGGACCCAAGGTTGGTAACACAATAAAATATACGCACCAGGTACATTACTAATAGGAAGGAAGGCTGCATAGTATAGACGGATCTCGTTAGATCTTGGAAGCTTAGTAGGGTCGGTACTTGGAAGAGAGATCGCCAAGGAAGATTCTGCAGCGGCAGGCAAGGACAAACCACCTCGGCTTAATCACTGACCATGGAAGCCCCTTGCTGGGGTCACCATAAGTTGGCTGCAACTTGATGGCACTTTACACACCTAAGTTACTAATTACCAACCGACTAAACCCAATCCACATAAAATGCAAATGCAAACCCAAAGAGCCAGCAATAAACCAAACAAAACTACTGACAATGCCTAAATAAACAGATACTATCTCCCTTGAGCAGAAACAATCAAATTAGTTCATGGAGTGCTAATTATGAAGCCCCAAATGCCTACCTAACTACTTCTGTCTTGCAGCTCCTCTGGAAAGTTAACCGTGTGGCTGTTTTCCTCACCTCTTCCAGAAGACTGTTGCAGAGAAAGGGGGCAGTTACTGAGAACACCCAAGCATGGGTTGCAACACAGCCTACCCTAGGGAGGGCAGGAATTGAGAAGAGGAACTCTACTGTGTAGACTGGAATTGCTGCAGGGGTTCGTAAAGGAAGAGGTGGCCCTTCGAGTAGGTGGGTATCCCAGGCTGAGAAGGGTTTTATGGGGAAGCAACAGAACTTTGAACTGAACCCCAGAAACAAACAGGCAGGCAGCCTTAAAAGGAGAGGAATGTGCCCTTAGCAGCCGGCCCCAGAAAGCCATCCAGCTGCCTCATTCTGCACCAAGTTTCCGTGTTGTCTTCAAGGGCAGCCCCACAAAGAGCATGTTACAACAATCAAGCCTCAGGGTTACTACAGCATGGCCAGATCTGCTGCATCATGAAAAGGAGAATGTTTCTGGGAAACAGGCACCTGAGGGGGGGGGAAAGCATTTTTTCGCCCCTGTACTCACCTGCTATTTCAGCAATAAAAGAGGGTCCAACAAAACAGAGAGAGGGTCTTCACAGTATGTCAAAAAGGCCTGTGTTTCATCCAAAGCGCAACACAACATTCCCTATAATACAGCCGCCGACCCACCAGCATCCTCTCTGCCTTCTCAGGATTCAGTATGAGCCACCCAGCCAAAGCATTTAGGCACCAGCCAAGGGCAGAGACAGCAGCAACTGGAGGCTTATTTAACCAAATGCACAGCTGAGTATATTCAGCATATTGATGACACCCAGCTCCAAAGCTATGGATGATCTCACTAAGGGGCTTCGCAAAAGAGAAGCCTGAACCTTGCAACACCCCATCCCCCAACAAGAAATACTCTACTTCAGATTCTTCAGCCCACATAATTGAATATCATCAGCATACGGCTGATGGCAACACACCCCAACATCTCCTGGCAATCCAGTGATTTCTTACAGATCATTTTAAAAGTCACACAGCCACACAGAAACCTGTTGGGTAGAAAAGAAGACATCCCCAGCACCATCTTCTGAAACTTCAAAAAGCAGAAGCACTGGAAAACAGAGCAATCTGCCACCTCAGTCCTTCCTGCCAGTCCCAGAGGATAACATGGTTGGTGGTATCAAGAGCAGTGTTCCGTCTAAGCTGAGTTAGTGTGAGCTAGCTCACAGTTCTTTAGCCTCCGGCTCACACATTTTTGTCTTAGCTCAGGCAGGAGGGCTCCAGAGCAAACTCATTTATGCAGCAGCCCAATCACTTGCTCACAACTTTAATGCCAGGAGCTCACAAAGTAGAATTTTTGCTCACAAGACTCCACAGCTTAGAGGGAGCATTGATCAAGAGCCACTGAGAGATCCAGAGGAACAAGCAGGGACAGCCACCTGCCACCTCTCTCTCACTGAATGTGGTTCATGAGCACAATCAAAGCAGTTTCTCTGCCAAACAAGAATGCACAGGTCCAACAATTAAAAGATGTGGTTGCTTTTCAAACATCACTTAGCAACTGGAAATATTCCCCTGCAAGTTCACTGTACACAAGAAACAGGACAACACACAGTCAATTACACCACCACAATTATACCAACACACACAGAGAGAGACAGAGAAAGACAGACAGACAACCTTGAGTTCCCTCACAACTCTAGGGTCCAAAGTTAGGACAGCCAAACACAGGTGGGTCAAGATGGATATCTAAAACACTACAATAATATTGTAGGCCACAGGGGAATGTGGGTTCTCCATAAACAATTGTAACGAGTTTCTAGGCAAGGGACCATCCATACAACCTCCTGCAAAGGCCCAACTCCTGTATTTTTGACATGCCATGTTTGTGAAATGGTGACCTCCTTTTGCTTTCAGTCAGCAACAGTCAGGAAACTCCAGGTCCAGCAAATGGTACAGGGGCACCTGAAGCTGTAGTATTCCTGAAACTAAGGAGAGCTGGAGATGACTGGTATGTAGGGTAGATAAAACTCAATGATTTTTGTAAAAATAAATATCGGATTTTAAAAATTTAAATCTGGGGTTTTTAATTTAAATTGGATTTTTAATAGAATGCTTTTTGAAGAAAAATCTATCTAAAAATAGTTTTCTATTTAAGATAATTATAGTCCAAAGGTTATTCATCATAAAATATGGATTAGTTCTTAATTATGTAGCATGAGGCTGTATATTCATGCAATGTTTAAATTTTTTGGTAAGTGAATTCCATTAATCCATTCACAATGTCACGTTCTCCCAGAGGTTTCTGTAAGATTATTTGGGGCAATTTTTTGGTTTTGCAGTTCTTGAAACTGTAAATTTGTATCTGCAGAGATAACATGCCTCTTCTTCACAGCAAAATTTTTATAAAATAAACATACAGAGATGAGAAAAAGACAATCCCATTGTTCCTCTGCAAATCTATGCAAACAGAACCAACCCCATACCTCTTAAGTGCTAATTTTCAAGAAGTTCAATTAATAGAAGATTGTTTGGAGTGGAATAGATCTGTACAAGGAGCCAAGTCTGAGGAGGGAGGGGCAAGCGGTAAAAATGGAAGGGAAAACTTTGGAGGGGGGAATATGTGTGTGTGTGTATAAACCAAACGAGAAATTTCTTGATATAACTGTAAAACTAATCTGAAAAGTCATTACTCTAAAAATGAAACCTTCATCTTGTTGTAAATAGTAAGATTATACCAGCAAGAATGAGTCTTTATATAGAAAACAATGATTTAAATCTAGTCTTATTGACTAGTGATTTAAATCAAATCCACCCTTCTGGTATGCATATATGAAAACACCAGGAGCCAAATGTAAGGTACTCTGAGCTTTCTAAATGAAAAGTAGAGTTATAACCTTTACTCAGTGAACTATAGCACTACATCTAGTGCAGATCACTTGGGCTTCTAACAGCCAATGAGCTGAACTTCTAGTTTTTTTAGAGGCATAAAGCCTAAGAACCTCTTGCCTGGTCAGTGAAAGACACTGCATAGCTTCACAGTTCTTCTGTCTTTACCATGAGTCTTCCTGCTCACAGACCTGCCACAAGTGAGATGACTTGACTGCCTTTTGACCTTGATCGCTATTACTGTAAAAAATACCCACGGGGCCTCAGTGGAGTGTGCTTTTTAAAATCCCAACATCCAGTTATTTACTCATTTATTTAATTCGATTTTTACCCTGTTCTGGGCAGCTTACAACATACCAGTGTAACAGTTTAAAAGATTAAAACATAATACAATAAAAAGTTTAAAATTCCATTTCATAGGTAAATTACAAGATAGCGGTGATCCAATTAAAGTGCTCTCAGCAAAAAATTATCATTGGAAAGAGTCGACCAATTCTTTGACCTGGAAAGGATGACTATGAATGCCAACAACAATATTTAATATGCTTAAAGCTGCTTGGTTATTTTCCTAGCATGTAGTCCAACTTACTTAAACTGTTTCTATCACCATGGCTTTTTTCTTTTTTAAGTAGCACCCCTCTCTCAGAAGCAGAGTGCAACTCCCACTCTGGCTTGTTTTAATTTTAATTCAATATTTTAAACGATGTGTTCAATATTTACCATTCCCTGGAGTGCTGAATGTCCCTTTTCCTCGTGTATTTCAATTCATGTTATACAACTTCATCTAAAAGCCTATATGCTATGGAGACTTTTTCAAATAAATTAAATGTAGCAGAGTGTGACCCAAGCACCTCTGCCCCAACTACCTCAATCAGAAGTCCTGCTAAAATGGGGGCAGAGGAGAAATGGGGCCTCAGTTAAATCTTCACAACTACACTAAGTTCACCATTCATGATGCTGCACAAGTCCCATGAGGACAGGATTGCTCCAGTGCCCTGACAGATGGTTTTGGAAGCTGCTACTGGAAAAACCAAACATAGTTCAGCACAGTACTGTAATAAGAACTGTCATTTAACACACACACACGCACACACACACACACACACACACACACATATATCCTTTCAGAATCCTACTCTTATAATGAGTGCTGTCTCTTACTTCTTGGCAGCCGTACAAAGTTTGTAACCAGGAAGGAGGAAAGGGGCATCTGAAAGAATCTCATAATTAAAAAAAAAACAAAAACAGGCAAAACCCAGAGGACAGATAACCTTTGGCACAAGCAGCCCAACAGAATTCCCCCTTGAAAAAACCCTAGGAAACAGCCGTCACTTACTCTGTATGGCCCTGAAAGACATTCACAGAATGGATAGAAGGGTCTCTGAAATCCCACAGACGGAACGTTGTGTCGCGTGATGAGGTCACCACAAGACGCTGGGTGGGATGTGTGCAACAATGTGTAAGTTCTTGGTCATGTCCTACAACCACAGATGAAAACATATAAGGCACCAAGGAATACAAGACATTTCATTTCCACAAACAATGGACATGAAAAACATCAGAGACAGTTATCTACATATTGACTGATGGCAATCAAAATGGCCGCCTATGAAAATTCAGGCTTTAATACTAACTAGGCAGGGCTAACACACAGTTTTGGTTGCCCTACATGAATTGGAATTTTGCCCCTAAAAGTGTTCTTGTGCCTTACTACTCATTCCTGGACACCTTCACGGACAGATTGAACTCACTATTTTACCTTCCTGTCCTCAACCACCCCACAAGCACAATTTACCCTACACAGTTATAATGAGCACTGAGATGAAAACAGACAACCTGACTTTAATAAATACACAGGGACGGTGAGGTAGGCAGATACTCTGAATGGAGAAGAAACTGCCATCCAGCCAACAAGTTGCCAAAAGGACAGTCCCAAATCAGGCATCTCTGGAATTCTGGCACCTTAGATTGCTTTTACAGCTGAAGAGGTGTGACCAGAAAATTTTATTTCTTTACTGCATTTATAGTCTGCCTTTCTCAATGAGACTCAAAGCAGATTACACAGGGTAACTGGTAACAGTCTATATGAAAAGACATAATAAGCACAGAGCAGGTCAATCTAATCGACATGAGAAGACATGAAATGACCAGTGTACTAGACTAGGATTCCCAAAATCTTAATGACCACAGTTAGGAAAATGCCAGAGAAGTTGTAGTCAGCTCTCTGGGTCGGATCCAGACTAAATGTCCCACTCATGCAAGGCACTTCTGTCACCAGAATAGAACATTCCTGCCCCCCCATCTCCCCAAATCACTGCTCCTAGTCAACAGAGGACCCTCAGGAATAGCATGAGAGGGGTCTGCAACAGGAAGAGGGAATGGGTGGATATTACCCAACCTGTTCTATAAGCAGAAAATTCTGTCTAGCTGCAACCCTTTGTATTTTGAAAGCCCTGCTGCTAGATCCATCAAAGGTGCTCCAAACCAGTGGCTTAACACTGGACATCCTTGAGCCAAAGCCATTGTCCTGAGGGCTGCAATATCATAGACTGAAAGGAGATGGAAATCATCTAGCCTTTGGTAATCTACACTGATTTTAACTTCCCACAGATTAACTCACATTTACCAGTTTGTCACCTGTCATTGACAAGCACAGCAGAAGTACATAAGGTTTTCCATACTGGTAACGCCAGCCAAGGAATAGTTTAACAAGAGGCCTTCCATGCACAACAGGGAGCGGGAATCTAAGATAAACTTCTCATATCTGAGAAGGAATGCTTTATTCCCCTTGAACCAAGCCACCAGGGAAGAAAGTTCTGTCTATCCTCTAGCAAACATCAACCTCACTCAACCCCAAGCTTGAATATTTTTTATACCTATAACTGCTTCCCCGTTGATCCTAGCAGAAATGCAGAAGATAAAAAACCACTGAACCACAATCTGTAAACCAAGATACACAGATCTCTTCATCAAGCAGAATCTGGTCCAACTACTCATTTTGCATTTCTTGCTTTATTCCCCTTGAACCAAGCCACCAGGGAAGAAAGTTCTGTCTATCCTCTAGCAAACATCAACCTCACTCAACCCCAAGCTTGAATATTTTTTATACCTATAACTGCTTCCCCGTTGATCCTAGCAGAAATGCAGAAGATAAAAAACCACTGAACCACAATCTGTAAACCAAGATACACAGATCTCTTCATCAAGCAGAATCTGGTCCAACTACTCATTTTGCATTTCTTGCACCTATTTATGGGAACATTTGACAGCGTATCGTAGATGGTCACAGAGGGTGCAAAGTGTCCATTATTCAGCCATGGAGTTACTGGGGGTACACAGATCTCTTCATCAGGCAGAATCTGGTCCAAGTTCCAACTACTCATTTTGCATTTCTTGCGCCTACTTATGGGAACATTTGACAGCGTATCATAGATGGTCACAGAGAGTGCAAAGCGTCCATTATTCAGCCATGGAGTTACTGGGGGACCTTGGGCTAGATGCTTCCCCTCAGCCAAGCCTACCTCACAGAATTGACATTGAGGATACAGCAGAGGAGGGGAGAAAACTATATAAGCTGCCCTGACTCCTCAGAGAAGTGCATGATAATAATGGTGATAACAATTAAGTGTCATCAAGTCACAACCAACTTATGGTGACCCCATTAAATTCCACTTCATGGGCTTTTCAAGACACTAGAGCAGCAGAAATGGTTTGCCACTGCCTGCCTCTACCTGCAGTCACACATACTCAATAATCCACTTTCTTTTTTGTTTGTTTTTGTATTTTTTTATATGTGCATGTGTGAGTGTGTGTGCACCTGGAAGTCATGGCGACCTCTGGTGACTGAACCCTGTTGGGGGCCTGGAGGATATTCAGAGAGGTGGCTGAATAAAGCCTGCCCCCCACCTCTGGTATTTCAAAGAGGTCTCCCATCCAAGTACTTGCCAGAGTCGACCCTGCTTAGCTTCCAAGATCTGACGAGATCGGGCTTCCCTGGGCTATCCAGGTCAGGTCACTAAATAATCCACTTTCAATTCACTTTCAGTGCATTTTCCAACTGGATTTTCCAGTTCACACAGTAAAATCCTGTTGGAAAGTGGATTGAAAGTGGATTATTTAGTGTGTGTGATCGCAGCCTCTGTGAAGCAACCCTAGACTTCCCCAGTGGTCTCCCACCCAAGTGCCGACCATGGCCGTCCCCTGCTTAGCTTCTGAGACCTTATGAGCTTGGGCTAGTTTGGGCTATGGTGCTTCTGTGGTTAATACCTGGAGCAGAAAGTTGCTGTGCAAGAAATCTGCAGAGACTCAAAAACTACATTAGTTAATGTTTGACAAGAATGATCTCAAGTTTATGGATACATTATGCTGGATAAGCAAAACAACCAGTGATCATTTCTAAGTAGCATACCATAGTTCTTAAAGGACAACAGAAGTCCCTTTGCATGGCAAGGGTGGAAAGGACTACCTTTTTTCTTGGCAGAAACAGCCTGTAGACCTTGGGCTCACAGAAACAGCAGGACGGTTCTCAGCATTCTGAAAGCTCACATTCACAATCATTTGCAGTTTACTCTCCTAGACTCGCCAGCAAATAAAAACATATGGATTTCCTAAGCTGTCAAACAAGCAGCGCTTGGAAGTGGCAACTAGCGTCAAGAGCAACAAATACCTGTCAGAGAGTGCACAAGTTCTGATGTCTCCACATCATAGAGGTTTGCTGTCCTATCCCACGAAGCGGTCACAGCTTGCTTCCCTCCAACCAGCCAATCCGCTGCTATGACTACACCTTGATGGCTTTTCAGGGTGGTTAGAGGAGCCCGGATGGTAGGGCAATCGCTGGAACCGTCTCCATCTCCGTCAGCTTCGTCTTTATCAGAAAACTCAACTTCATCTTCCCCTGACATTTGCTGTCAATTTTGAGAATACGTAATAAGGCATTAAGCCTGCCAGGCTGAATAGGGCTTAAAGTCCAACCAGCGTTGCCGCTTAACGTATCACAAATACACAGGTCCCCACCAATGCTCCCACTATGCTGTGGAGTCTTGTGAGCGAAAATTCCACTTTGTGAGCTCCTGGCATTAAAGCTGTGAGCGAGCGATTGGGCTACTGCATAAATTAGCTTGCTCTGGAGCCATCCTTCCCGAGCTAAGACAAAAATGTGTGAGCTGGAGGCTAAAAAACTGTGAGCTAGCTCACACTAACTCAGCTTAGAGGGAACACTGGTCCCCACTACGGTATATATCCCGTGTTAATGCATAAGTGAGACAGCTGCAGGAGAAGCAGCGATAGGGGCACTGGGAGGGAAGCATGATTCCTTCGGAGAGTTTTAAACTGTGAAGTACACAGTGGGTAATGCAAAAGGGTCTTGGCAATAATACCACGTAATCACAAAAGGCTCAACGCATCCATTTTTTAAAAATAAACCAGGGGATTATGCTTAAAAAAAGAATCAGCAAGTTTAGTAACCTGAAGCACAAGCATCACTTACATTGCAGTCTGCAGTAGGCTGGGGGGTGGGCAACTGGACCATGTACCTCCAGATATGAGCGGTCTGGTCTCCAGATGCTGCAGAACGAAGAAGGAGGACAAGATTCCATACACGTGTGTGGAAGATACTGCATTTTCCCAAATGCATGACATTTGAGAAGGGCGGTTGTCATACATGCTGGGTCATCTTCCTTTCAAGTAAATATGGTAGAAGGGCCCAAGTGGACAGTATGAGCCCCCAGCTGCTCTCCTGTGCATCATGAGGAGCAAAAATGGGCATACGCCTTCCCTTCACACCCACCCAGGTAGCCTACCTGGCCTTCGACTCAACAGTTGCCCAGGTGGCAACTGAGTCCCGCTCATGCTCCAGCTAAATGCAATACATGCACATTCAACCCAAAGGGCATAGGACAATTTCCCCAGTAAAACCCAACGAACAACTGCATAAACAAATCAAAGTGTTATGCTCTTATGTGGATGGCCAGTGGCATCTGAGAGCACACAGGATGTCAGAGAGGGACGAAGGTGCAGTTTCACCTCCACCAGTCTTAACCAAAAACCCTTATCCAGTTCCTGTTATTTTCACAACTTTAACTATGTTTTAAGTAAGTTTTGAACAAAATATTACTTGCCAGTTTAAGAATTAAATCGATAGCTCATTGTTTGTGGGCTTTACTAGAAGAGGAGGAGGAGGAGGAGATTGGATTTATACCCCACCCTTCACTACCCAAAGGGGTCTCAGAGCAGCTTACCCTTCCCCTCCCCACAACAGACACCCTGTGAGGTAGGTGGGGCTGAGAGAGCTCTGACGGAAACTGCTCTTTCAAGAACAGCTCTGAGAGAACTATGGCTTGCCCAATGTTATCCAGCAGCTGCAAGTTGAGGAGTGGGGAAAAACCCAGTTCTCCCAGATTAGAGTCCGCGCTCTTAACCACTATACCAATTTGGCTTACTAGGATTATAAGTGGATGAAAACAGACAGCTTAATTACAATTTTTTAATAAATGCAAGCACTGTCCTTCCATGAACAAATGTATATTTTCAGTTTATGAAGGGATATCTAAAGCATTAAGCTAAACATTCAGTTGTCAACATTGTGCATCAATAATCTAAGGGATAAATTAAAGGGAAACTGGATCTCATTTTAGTTAGGCTATCTAAGCAAGTGACTGCACTCATTTTTACCAGACATTCACAAAAAAATACATACATATCCAAAAATGTTACCGTGTCTTGAAATAAATTTATCAACACTCCCCCAACTGCTGCCTATGAGCCCTGTTGCAAGCAGTCCTGACCCTCTCCTCCAAACCTTTCTCACAGCCCTTTCAGTCTTTATTCCTGCACCATTCAACATAAAAATGCCTTCTTAACCCCTTGCTGAGCTTCATCTATGCCTAAAGGCACAAGCCTGAGCCCTTCTTAGAGGCACTGGGGAAGGGAAACACACACCACTTAACTTTCAGCAAGTCAAATACCCATGTCTCACAGGCTAGAGGCAGACTGACTTTTGAATGACACCCCAAGCTTTAATATGATTGTCAATACAGGTAAAGCAATGGCATCAGACACACACACACACACACACGGTGGCAGTCTGTGTCACTTTTTTCATCTTTCATCAGGGGGAAACTTTCTGCTTAAGACATAATAAACAGTCACTTTTGGCAAATTTCTCTGAATTAAAAGAAGAGAGAAGAGATTGGATTTATACCCTGCCCTTCACTATCCAAAGGAGTCTCAGAGCGGCTTACAATCTCCTTTCCCTTTTCCTCCCCAGAAGAGACACCATGTGGGGTAGGTAGGGCTGAGAGAGCTCTCTCTTGAGAACTGCTCCTGAGAGAACAGCTCTGAAAGAACTTGCAACTGACCCAAGGTCACACCAGCAGCTGCATGTGAAGGAGTGGAGAATCAAACCCGGTTTTCCCAGATTAGAGACTGCGCACTTATCCCCTACACCAGACTGGCTCTACCCCAAAGGCAGAATATGGCCAAGACAAAGAAAGAGGAACAAGTTTCATGCCAAGCATTTGATGGAGTGAGACGGGAGGCAAAACAAAGCAGTATGGAGGAAAAGCTGACAAAGGTAATAAAATGATAAAGCTACTCATTTGACACATCCGCACAAAACAACTGACAAGGGAAGGGTACCGTATTTACCCAAAAGAAAGATTAGGGTTTTTTCCCCCCACCTTAATGTGCCATTAAGAAAAAGATAGGATCAACTTACATTTGCATCCAAGCTACAAGCATGTGCGGTAATTTTTAAAAACTGTATTTAATATTGTAGGGGAGAGGGGAGTCACCTTACGTACAGGACTGTCTTCCTTTGGGGCAAAACACAGGAAGTTTGTTCCATAGTTTTGCAATTAACAGAAATAGCACAAAGTAATTACATACCTGTAAGACTCACTTGTTCCGTTGGATGGAACTTGATGGAATTAACTGTGGTAACGTACAAATACACAATAATTAGAACAATAAACCCATTGCAGGAAGACTTCTTGCGTAAAATTACTCTTCCTCTTTACACAGCTTACCTGACCCAGCATGCCCAACGTATTTGACAAGGCACTTCCCTGTTTCTATGCTCCACAGCAAAGCGGTGTGATCTGCGAGGTTGAACCAGAGAGGAACATGGTTAGTAGTTCAAGAAATAAAGACGTTTCAGCTAAAGGCACTGCAAGCCAGAGTCCAAGAGGTTAAAAAAAAAAAATCAACCCTGTCCAGAACAGAGGCAGCAACTTCTGCTTTGCAGACACAGTGCTTGCCACCAAGAGGAGACAGCAGTGGCACATACAATTGCCAGTGCAGAAATCAGAGAAAATCTCTCACAACGCCTGTTTCGGTGAGTCTTGGGGCCCAGCGCTTAAGGACTGATTCACACGTGCATGCGCACCTCTTGATTCCTCAGTGCTTGACAGCTTGTAGATGACAGTGTCAGCCTCCCCTAAACTTTGGGCGATCAAAATTATCTGACCTGTGATTGCTCACTCATTCACAGAAAGTCACCACTTTGCGCGACAGTCACCTAGCAATGACCACACATGCAGGAACCAGTCTCAGGGGATTCTGAAGTGTTGATGCAGAATAGGAAGAGGAGAACAGATTGGATTTACACCCCACCCTTCACTACCCAAAGGAGTCTCAGAGCTGCTTACAAACTCCTTTCCCTTCCCCTCCCCACAACAGACACCCTGAGAGGTAGGTGGGGCTGAGAGAGCTCTGAGAGAATGGTGACTGACCCAAGGTCATCCAGCAGCTGCATGTGGAGAAGCGGGGAATCAAATCCGGTTCTCCCAGATTAGAGTCTGTGCACTTAACCTCTACACCAAACTGGCTCTACCCCTTCATGTTTTATTTATAAAGCTTCAGAAATGACCAAACAAAACATGACCCTTTCAGCCACTTTTCCTTCTTGTCACAGTTTTATATCAGGAAGACAATATGAACCAATGGGTTACCTTAAATTAGTAATCGCCTTGCGCAGTATGCATTAACTGCCATAGCTTCTTAGGAGCACATCACAAAAAGGAAGTGTCGGCGCTCTCCGAAACGAGACTCCCTGTTTTTTGGATGGCCAGTAGATGGCACTAACGTATCTCAGACTCCTTTTAGTCCAAAGGGCAAAAAAGCAAACAAACCCTTCTTTCAAAGACCTCCTACATTAGGGGACCTTTGTTTCAGCTGCCAGTGTATTTGCGGGATTCACAGAAGGCCAAATCCAAGAAATGCCCTTGGAAAAACATCTTTTCCGCAATGGAAATGGTTTAAATTAAGGATCGGAGGGATGTTTCATAAAAGGCAGCTGCACTTGTTTACAGGTCTGCCTTTTTTGTCTACAAAGTATAAACTATAAACGGAGCACAGGCGCAATGGAGGCAAAGCCCTGCCCTCGATGGTTGGTCTCTGCAGCACTTCCCCCAAAGCCCAGCCCCAACACCAGGGATAAGCTGGGCTGGGAGAAAAGTGCCTGAGGTAAGGCGAGGTGAGTGGAGCATTCAGTTCCCTCTCGTCTCCATGTACCCCTTCACTATAAAACACATACAGGGCAGACACCTGAAGGAAGGCGGATGGGTTGGTTCCACAGGTGAGCTTTACTGTAGAGACAAAGGAAAAGAGCAGGAAAAGAACACAGGAGAAACCCAGGATATGAGTTCCATGATCCATCTCAGCTAATGTAATCCATCTATGCCTCTTAGATGGCAGTTCGGTGTGAGTGCACGGACTCTAATCTGAGAGAACCGGGTTCGATTCCCCACTCCTCCACTCACAGCTGCTGGATGACCCTGGGCAAGCCATAGTTCTCTCAGAGTTGCTTTTGAAAGAGCAGTTCTCAAAAGAGCTCTCTCAGCCCCACCTACCTCACAGGGTGCCTGTTGAGGGGAGGGGAACGGAAAGGAGTTGTAAGCCGATCTGAGACTCTGAGTGAAGGGTGTGGCATAAATCCAATCTCTTCTTCTTCTTCTCTTAACTGCTGGTAAAAGTTTTCCTGAAATTGTGTCTTAATTGCTAAGAGGAAAACCAAAAGCTAAAATACAGTCATTGATTCTAGAAGAGTAAATAGTTAACCCAGACCATTAATTTAACCATGCATACTTAAGTACCGAACCAACTGCACTAGCTAAGTACTTGAGTCCTAATTTAAACAGCAAGGGGCATGAAGTTAGTCTGAGCTAGTTGCCAGACAATTTCTACTTAGCTGCAGAGGGACAGATCCACAGTTAAAGCAAAATGGACTAAGTCCTCTTTAACAAGACTAGACTTTGGGTGGGGAAGTGGGGAGCACGACTGCCGTACAATAGAGAAACGAGACACGTAATCTGAAGATCAAAGCCATAAAGGAAGCTTGTGAAAAGACATGAAGGCATGCCACCTCTTGGGTTCTGATGTAACAAAAGTCAAGGCCTACGATGAGAGCCCCCTGACCTGGATAGCCCGGACTAGTCTGATCTCATGAGATCCCACAAGCTAAGGTTAGTATTTGGATGGGAGACCATCAGGGAATACACCAGGGACTCGTCACCAATGTTCCCTATATGCGGTGGAGTCTTGTGAGCAAAAATTCTACTTTGTGAGCTACTAGCATTAAAGTTGTGAGCGAGCGATTTGGCTACTGCACAAATTAGTTTGCTCTGAGCTAAGACAAAAATGTGTGAGCTAGAGGCTAAAAAACTGTGAGCTAGCTCACACTAACTCAGCTTAGAGGGAACACTGGTCGTCACGGAGAGGCAGGCAACGGGAAACCACCTCTGAATGTCTATTACCTTGAAAACCCTACGGGGTCGCAATAAGTCAGCTGCGACTTGGATTAAATCACATATGATTTCAGTACAGCAATGGCCAAGTTCTTCAGCCATGGAAGGGAGGGGTCCAGAGGCCTGCCAGAGAATCCGGCAGCACGACCCCAGTCACAATACGAGAGGATGTCCTCCGCAGGGCCAGTGCGCAGTGAATGATTTCTCAATTTGCACAGGGAGCGTTGCAACAGGAATAATAAAAACTAGGCACAGTCAGAGACTACCTGCAGACGTCTTCTGACTATGCATAACCAGCCTAGAGTTCCCGCAACACAGGCAGAACACACTGCAGTGGAAAGGACAAAAAGGCTATTACCCGCAGAGGCAGTCCCCAGCACCACCGGCTGAGTTCTTGCGACACTGACATCCCAGATCCCATCCCGGTGGCCAATGTACTCTTTCACCAGCTGGCAGATGGCTCTTGAGGTTGTGGTCTTGAAACTGGATACAATCTGAGGAGTGAAAGAGACCGTTTTTGAAACACAAGTAGAGACATAAGCTGCTTCCTAGAGCCCCCCTCACCCACCCAACCCAGTACACAAAGTAAAAGCCACTGATAGGTTTAACTGTAGCACAGTTTATGGATGCAAAAGCTCTAGGATGTTTTCTCCTAAAAAAAAATGGGACCAAATTTGTCCTGTCAAGTCAGGACAGTTTACTGTGTGCCAGAGCAGAATTTGGCCCAGAGGAAGTTATTTTAGGAGGTCAAAGCGCAACGAACTCTCAGATTTGTCCTCTCCTCAAAAGAAAAGGTAGGTATAATCTGAGGAAAACTATGCTTTTTCCCTGTCTTAAATGTATCGCGTGTGCCATACAAGTCTCTTTGATACACACAACTGGCTAAGAATGGGTCAGGTGGGGAAGAAGCTGCACAAGAAGCCGAAGGTCAGAGCAGTTTGATACAGAGCCGTTGAACACAGGAACAAATAATTAACCTGCAAGCACAGGCCAGTTCCTTCCATGTGGCAATGAAACTTTCGTTCCAAGGAAAAGCACAAAAGATTTAAAAGGTGATCCAAAAAAAAAAAAAGAAGTCACTAATGAATGCTTACTTGAAACACTTTGCTCTGATTGTGTTTTTTTAAAAAATGAAGAATTCTGATTACTGCATAAAAAATTAATAGAAAAAAAAGGAAGCAGCAATTAACATTAAATTCACAAACAGGGGCACTTTCTCCCTAGCGGGTATAGAGATTTAGAGAAATGTTCAGTCATCGGATGAAAAAGGGAGGAGGAGGAGGAGAGGGGAGAAAGCCTCGGGAAAATAGGTGTCCGTGCTGAAACATGCAAATATTCTGCATTGAGCAGACTGAATTAGCCCGGCCAAACAAGGACAGTTTCCAGCATTAAATCATTTGCTCTGGCCTGGTGGGTCAGGGACCAAGCCACTTTCTTCTTTTTAGAAGAGGGAAAACACAAAAGGGGAGCAGAATCCAAAATGTCCTCACTGGGGTCCATAGTTACACCCATTGCTGAACCACTGTGGGAGGGGGCTAGAAAAAAATTAACAGCCTAGGGGTAAAGGGGCTGGCCTAACGAGGGGTTACTACATCATGTTATTGCATCGGCCACCCACCATTTCATTTGAATTAACGGGGCAGATGTCAGGCACTGTGGGATTTGCAATTTTTTTTAAAGGCCTTGCAACCCAAAATGGAGCGGCGGGAATGGTAAACTTGGATAGGACAGCAGAAATATTGAGACTGGCGAAGGGTTGCCAGCCTCCAGGTGGGGCCCAGAGATCTCCTGGAACGACAACTGATCTCTGGATGACAGAGATCGGTTCCCCTGGAGAATATGGATGCTTGTACTCGATGGCATTATATCGAGTACACTCGAATTCACTGCCACAGGAAGTGGTGGCAGCTAGAAGCATGGACGGCTTCAAAAGGGAATTAGATAAGCATATGGAGCAGAGGTCCATCAGTGGCTATTAGCCACAAGGTATAGGTAGGGGCTCTGGGGCAAGTGATGCTCTGTCTTCTTGGTGCTTGGGGGGGTCAACAGTGGGAGGGCTTCTAATGTCCTGGCCCCACTGCTGGACCTCCTGATGGCACTGATATTTCTGGCCACTGTGTGATACAGAGTGTTGGGCTGGATGGGCCTTTGGCCTGATCCAACATTGGCGTCTCTTATGTTCTTATGTGCTGAGGCTCCTTCCCTCCCCAGGCTCTGCCCCCAAATCTCTAGGAACTTCCCGAACTAGAGCTGGCAACTCTAGGCAGGACTGGGTGGTGGGGAGAGATCACTTATGACACGTGGGACGGGGAGCTTAGATGGAGGAGAGAAAGAGCTGAATGGGGTGCCTGTGCCCAAGGGGAGTGCTGGGAAACTGGGGAGAGTGGTGATGCTCATGAAGAGGTTTGGTAAGACAAGATGGTGAATGATGCCATACTGGGATGGGATGGAGAGGGACATTTTGAGAAGCCGGCCACTGGGCTTGCTGCTGTTCCCCTGCCCTTAAAAACTGGTGATTTTGAGAGACCCATTGGAGTCTGACGCCTCTGATATAAAGTGAAATGGAAGAGGAGGTGCCACCATACAGGTGGGGGTTTAAAGATATGTAAGACATCTCAAAAGGCTGAGATATATGGATTATTATCATATGATTATAATATTCCGATATGCCATTCCCCTGTCTAAAGCAGTAATAATGAAAGGGTAATATACCCATATTTACTTCCATAAAGGTGTGGTCTCAGAGGCAGGTGCTTGCATTGGAAGCACGTTAGAGACAAAAACGACACTCAGCTATTTATACCCTGCTCTAAGACATGGGGAGAAGAAGAGTACAAGAGCTTCCTTATGATTCCAGAGCCCTAGGGGAGGACGAAGCCCCCAAAGGCATCCTAGGGACAGAGAGAATGAAGGAGTTTTTCCGAGGGCTGTTCTACACAATAACTTTTTTTCCTGCATGCTCCTAAGTTGGTGTCTGTTTTTGTGAAAGAAATATGATGAGCAGGTTTAAAAAGAGGTACTATCAGCCATCTGGTGATGGTTGTGGCTCCCAAAAATGCAGCCTTTGTGACGCACCTGGATCTGTTGCTGTGGCATGGCCTTTAAGACATAATAGTTCCCTGAGTTCTCCAGTACAGAATCTGGCCATCATTCCAACAACAGCAAAAGGAAGTCTTCAGGGTCACCACAAAGAATTATAAGGCATAATGGGAGTCCCAACCTTTAATTCGTTAAAAAATGTTTAAAATTCCAGAAACAGCCTTAGAATTAGAAGCAGTTAAGTGTTCAATAAGAGCCCAGTTAAGCCAAACTCCTAGTTGTAACATGTACCACCTTGTAAGCAAATACAAGAAAGATTTCAATTATATTTAGCTCTATTATTGCAAATAAAGCCCTAGAAATACTTGATGATTAAAACAAAACAAAAATGAAACAAAGTATTCCACCAGCATATTGAATTAAATTTTGGGCCGGGGGGGAAACTTGAAGTTTGTCACATTTTTTAGAAATTGAAGTATACAATTTTTTTTCCTTGTGTTAATCTTTGTAATGATGAAATGAGTCCTAGATGGAATTATAATTAGCTGATTAATGAGCAGAATTGTTTCAAAGCAAGTCAAAGCAAAAATTACTATGGATGCATTGAAAAGGAAACAGGTTAATTCTGGCAGAACTAGGTAGAGATTAGTACTTGAACCGTCATGTGGAATTAATCATAACAAAATTTCAAGGCAATATTAAAATGCAGTTGTCAGATTTAATAAATGTCTTCAAACAAAATGGAGTTATGTATGAGAAGTGGAACAGTAGAATAAATTATAGCAATAGGACCAGCATACCTTTCAACTGTTAACGACATGTGGGGAAAAGTCCACTGAGCTCTTGGGTCCCCTAACCTCATCTGAACGAGGTGAATGGATTATGGGGGAAACGGTTTCTTCCTTCTTTCTTTCTTCCAGCCCTTTTGGCTACTTTTTTTTCAGCTGGAGAACCCCAAACATCTAAAGAAGTCTGCAAAACCATTGCTGATGTGGAAATGAACGTTTTGCCTTGCTAACAAATGTACATTCTTTTGGAATTTTAACTAACTTGAAAAGTCCAATAAAAAGAGGGAACATGGATGGGAGCGTTGCTTTCGGAAGACTGCAGATCCTTGCACTATGAGCAGAACTCGTCTCCAGTCCCTGCCTGGTCTGGCCAAAGTTCTGGAAACTGGGGCATGTGTCCCACCACTAAACTCAACAATGTTTGAAGACCTTCTCCAGGTGAAAAGGCTTTCCTCCAGCTTAAGTGGCTGTTCCGCCAAAGGACCAGCCACTTAAGTTGGAGGAAGGCGCCAGGCTTCATTAAGTGGACTGGTAAGATACAGGCCATAGTTCCTTGCTTCACATTAGTTACACTGTCACTCAACTGTACGTCCACTTGGTAGCTATGCTCAAAACTGTTGTCATTCTCAACCATTTGCTGCCACACATAACAAACATAAAAGCCACTGCTCTGTGCCTGAAATATTGATTCTTGTTTCTCTGTTTCCTCCTCCCTGTACTGTCAGCACATTTATTAGCAATTGTTTATATTATGATTTGGGGGGGGTGTAATTCTATGCCACCTCTGGGCATCAATGGTACAGAACATGTTGTTCCTGAATGCTATGGAATGGGCACAAGCCCACCAATCAGGTGAGCTGCTTTGTTTGAGGAAGGGAAAGTCAGTTGCTAGGCAGACTTCCAAAATGGTGCCATGGAATGTACAGCAGTTGCTTGTCAGTTAGTTGGAATCATGCAAATAGGGAGAGAGAAAAAGAAGGGAAATGGTTTAAGGGTTGCTAATATCATAGAGGCTCTATGGCCTACATACACCAGTAGCTTTGCTGAAGTTCTTTTCTTTATAGATGCCATGAGAAATAGCACCGAAAAAATGTCTAAGATGTGAAAGAGACGGATAGGGTAAGAGCAACCCCACCCTGGAACTTTGAAGAACACTGGCCATACCGAGGACCAATGAAGTTTATTAGGACAGGAAGGTGGACGGACACACTTACAAACGAAGCTTGTAATAGATAGCTTTAGCTTTCTATACAGCAGCCTGCACAGCCCAGATTTGCCTGAGCTCACTGGGGCTTGGGAGCTAAGCCATGGTCAGCCATGATCAGTACTTGAGCAGCAGACCACCGAAGAGACCTGGAGTTGCTCTGCAGTGGTAAACCACCTCTGCTCATCTCTCGCCCAGAATGCCCCGTCGATGGGGTTGCCATGAGTCAAGTTCTTCAACTTCCTATAAAGCCTGAAATAATTTGTTGCCTACATTTTAAGTGCCCATGCTCGGGTTTAAAGCTTTTTAAAGTGGGGATTACTTCCATAAAAATTCTCCCAGACCTCTGCACTAGTTAAGACTTTGAGGGAGACCAGCATATTCTTTCCCAGTACGAGCACCATCCTCGGACAATAAAATCTGAGAGGTGCTCTTTTGCTTTTACAGGTCAGCATCCTTTAGTTCATGTAATTGCTGAAGCAGCCACCAATGGTCCAATCCTAAAATCTGCTACGCTAAATCAAGACATGCTTTGCAAGAGAGCTGGCCAACTGCCAGGATCTTTTCCTTGTCTACTGCAGAAACAGGTTCAGGTAAGGATTCTTGTCTTTTAATTCTGCAGCAGTGAAATGGAGTTATTTTCCTACTGCAGAAACACAAAGATTCGCACTGCAGTCCTAAGCATAGTTATAGCCTTCTAAGTCCATACACTTCAATGGACGTGGAAGGGTGTAATGCCACTTAGGAATGCACTGTTAATATAGCATAAGCGCCCTACAAGAGTCCATCCCTCTATGGTATTATATTAAACAAGCTGTTTACCAATTTGAATCATCGTTTAAGAGCAGCCATTTGTATCAGTGAGAAGCCTGGAGGACAAAGGCGTGTTACTCCCAACCCGGGGCAAAAATAAAGAGCCAAGGGGGTCTGTGACCACCTCCTTCCAAAGCCAGATCAGGCATCCCCCATAAGTAGTTATGCATGATGCCTAAAAAAGAGCCGGATATTGACTGCCCAGTTAAACATGTTACCACAAGAAGAAGTCATTACAATTTAAGAGGAAGTAATTATAATTTAACTTCCACGGAGGAATTCCCACAGTTTTCCCTCAATGAATTATGTACTTGTATGTCAGGAAACTTCTTACAGCCCTTTATAATTTTTACCAAATACTGTGCTCTCTCTGCTTAACACGTGCCCCGCTGCGAGGCTCTGAACTTTGCCAGGTTCTACTCCTAGCTTCAGGATCCTATTATACCTTTAATTGGCGAACTCACGGATTCCTGTCGCATTCTCTAGCTTATCTTCCTGAGTAGACTGTTATACATGTTGGTCTATTTGGTACTTATTTCCTGAAACAGTACAAAGTGAATCCTTAAGACTACTCATGTAACCAGTGTCTTTTCGAGCAACAAAGGAACCCCAACACATCCCATTTAACACTCACTAGGAAGACAGCATTATTAAGCCAGATTGGCATTAATACCTTCCACATATGTTTCCGCATTTTCACTATTAAGTCTCTGGCACTGCCTGTAACATGGGATCTAATCCCAACTGTCTACAGACCGATTATGTCATGCAGACAAAGACAAACCAACGGCTTCCATTTCGAAACAAAGGACCCTTCAACTTTGCAGGCATTGGATTTTTTCCCCCCTACTGCACTGATTCACGTTAATTTTCATTATCTTACCTTTTTAGCTGCCCAAATACGTGTTTGTAATATGAACCAAAATGGCGTGTCAGCTTTTTTCATTTGTAATTTTACCTTGTCACAAAATTTTCTTTTCATGCCTCTAAAGGCAAATTCAAATTTCAGCCCTCCCACATGTGTCACCAAAGGAGGTTGCACAGGATGGAAAGGGTTAATGAACAGAATTTTTTCTCCCTCTCCCAAAATACTAGAACTCAGGGGCATCCAATGAAGCTGATGGGCAGTAGATTCAGGATGGACAAAGGGAGATATTTCTTCACAAAACAAGTGATTAAAATGTGGAATTTGTTGCCAGAAGATATAGTGATGGCCACATGCATAGAAAGCTTTAAAAGTGGATTAGACAGATTCATGAGGGATACATCTAAGTACTAGCCATGGTGGCTAAAGGGAACCTCCACACTCAGAGGCAGTAAACCTCTGCATCCCAGAGCCAGGAGGCAACATCAGGGCAAGGCCTTGGCCTCTATGTCCTGTTGTTGGACCTCCAGAGGAACAGGCTGGCCACTGTCCGAGACAAGATGCTGGATTAGATGGACCACTACTCTGATCCAGCAGGGCTCTTCTTATGTTCTCTCTCTGTTGGCAGCCCTTTGTCCTTCTTTGAACAGTAGGTCTTAGGCCTTGTCACTGCTGCTTTTATATGAGGTTTGTCTTGTGGCATTCTGAGGTGGCAAAGGAAGGTGGGTTGCTGTTTGGGAAAGTCCAAAGCCTCTCTGGTCACATAGCACGGCTCTTGGGATCCTGGCATCTTTTACTTCCTTCTCTCTCACAATTAATTTAGTTGGCTCATATGGTTCTTAATGATAAGGACTGCTTCGGAAATTTTGACATTCCTGAATTAAGATAACAAAATTCTGTTGAAAACATATGTGCTTCTGACATCCCAAGAGGGAGGGGGTGAAAAACTTCTCCAACAATCTTCACATGCAGAAGGCTGTTCAAGAACTGGTCCAGACTTATCTATGCCAATCAACGGAATGGGATGGAATCGTTCAGGAAGCTGTCTTTATAAGGGGAAAGGATTGAAGCCTATTGCAATACTGTATGTCTCTCCCGGCTTTTACTGCATTATCATCTACCTTTGTAACCCATTTTCTGAATTGTGGTACGTCATGCTTTAGACAGTATTTTGATTCCACTGCTTTCCAATTGTGTAACCCTTATTCCTATTGCACTGGTTGCTGGAAAAGTTATGCTGGCTGGCTGAATTAGTTTCTAAACTTTGTAATACGCCTTGAGTCTCAGTGAGAAAGGCGAACTGTAAATGAAATAATCTTTTTTAAAATGGTATCCCATGCTTGTACATAGGTATGTAAATGGTGTTTTAAAAACTCACGAGACACAAACTCTGCCATGTTATGCCAACGCTTTAAAAACATATAAACCATTATGATCACACTTGCAAAAGCTGTTCTTTGTAATACTAGGGGGGGGGCGCTATTCCCCATAATGGCCTATTACTGAGTGCCCATGAGTTTGTATTGAGTGAGGAGGGAAGAACAGAAGTCTCTTAACCTCTATGGGTTTGTGGACACTATTTGTGTGGGAGGGGTCATGTCCTACGTAACTTACTGCAAAGCAGAATATGAAAATGTATTCACTTCCAGTAATTGTTAAAACCACAGGGGGAAGTAATGGAAGAAAGTATGTATCTCTAGCTACCTCTATTTTCTGCCTTCCATTAATATCTACAAGCAAAATCAGGAAATGACTAACAATGGGCAGCATCAGGTCTTCCAAGAGGGCACAGTTGACAGATACGGTATCCATATGGGAAAACTGGTTAACATGAGATTCTGCATGTTCCACCACTCACTACTGTTTAGCTGGGCATGCATGCTGGCACACTGGGAAGCAAAGCAGTTACCCAAGAGTCTCCACCCCATATTTCCCAGCTTCCCACGTTGAAGTTGCGAGGTCCACCTGATTTGCCTGGGAAAGAATTTGAGCGCTATGCAGCAAGTAAGAAGAGATAAGTGTTCAGCACTTGCTTTTTAAAGAACAGTGATTTAAACACACAGTTAATAAACATTTTTATTCTAAAGACTGCATAGAAATGAACTCCACATTGCTCATTCGTAATATATTATTTAGACAGATTAATAAAAAATGGAAGGGGTATATTTCCCTCCTACAACATGCACACCAACAATGGAGATGCAGAAAGACACAGTCAAAAGTTTCTTAAACTGAAATGAGCACATATAAACAGAGTCCATTACCAAACTAAAGCATTGCAACAGTTTGCTGAAATTCCTCCAAAGAACTGCATATACTTTAGCACAAACCCCTCATTAACTGAATTTTACAATTTTATTGGTTAACATGACCAGTGCCATTCCATTGTGCCTACAGACCTTTGCCCCTTGCCCCTAGTCAGCAACTGGTCTGCCAAGAAATGTCTGTATATAGGCCTGACCTGGACAGGTGAGGTAATTTTTGTCTCGCATTTATGTTAAATTTCAAATACTGATTTGCATACTCTATGGGACTGGCAGTCCTTTACTCACTCACTCATTAGCTAGTTATAATTCTACACTTTGAAACGTTTCACCCCTCCCCTGTTTATGTCACACTTTCAGCTAATCGTATCAAGTTTCAACCTTCCTGGGAAGTTTTATAGATGGGCTGGTTCTTTTGCCTAGGACTCTTGGGGTTCTGATTCAGCAAGCAAGAAATGGGTTCCTGTTCTTTACCATCTTCTGTGATCTAAAGAAAGGAACATACGGCCAACTCCACTTTAAATAGTTTGAACAGAAGGACGCTGGTAAGACAACTAAGCCTTGTGTCCTATTCCAGTTTTAAGAGCTAGAATCAGTCAGTGCGAGAAGTTTACGTTCTATCGCTTTTGAAAGAATTTTGCTATTTTTAGAAATTTGAGGGTGGGGATTACCTGTAAATACCATGTAAATTCTGACTTCCTTTCATACCAAATCTGTTCTTAACATTTTGATTATAAATGTGTCCTTTGGGATCTCTCACCCTCTGCCTACCCATGGCAGATGCTAGTCATTTTACTTGGTTTGCTCCCAGGTAATATTAGGCTGTTTGATGAGGAAAAGACAGGATATAAATATTTTAATTAATAGATGCATAAGAGTTACGAAACATCCTCAGTGGCCTAGTGACTTAGTGGCATCATTATTAACGTTTAATTGGTCTGGACTCAGTCAGGGGACAAGTTGGGGCCCAGGGCAAAAGTTTAAGCAGGAGGAAAAAAGAACTTTGCACATCCTCTGTATTAGGTTTAACTATTATTACTTTATCTAGTGGTAGAAAGAAGGGATGTGTGCTTGGATATAACCAAACCGAAAATGCATCCGAGAAATGCCTTATCGGTATTTTCCAGATATAATCGTGTCGGAAGACACGTGATTTTTCAGGATACGAAAAAATGGGTTCCAAAAATCCTGGATATATTTAGGATTAATCAGGAACATTGGGATCCAGCATTTGCATGCAAATTTTCTCCTTTGTTTCTGTGTCTCCTAGGGTTTGGTATCAGCTTGCCAGGCTGCTTTAGGTAAGATGCTATCAGTTTCAAGTGTTTTTTGTTGCTTTTTAAAAGTTGGTTCTTGCAGGCAGTTTTGTTTTAGTATTTTATTGATTCTTGCATTTTACATTGAGATTCTCACATTTTACATGAGTCATGATTCTCAGGTTTTTCATTGGTTGGGTTTAGCAAACCCTTGCAATAGTCTTCCTATGGGGGGGAGATTCTTGGGTTTCACATTTTTCATGGTTCTTCCCCCCCCCCTCCATAGGAAACATGGAGAACAGCTGGGGGCACCTTGTTCAGGCACCCTTAGAATTGGACCTCTTGGTCCAACTGACTTGAAATTTGGGGGTTATTTAAAGGAGAGGCACCAGCAGCTCCCCTGCAGTTTTGGTGCCAGTACCTTTAAAAACACAACCCTACAACCATTCCAAAAGAATTTCCCTCAGGAGGCAATGGAGCCAAAAAATACCAAAAACATAAAAACACCCCTGTATCCAAACACCACAGCCGGTACTGGGAAACTGAGAATGCCGATAATTTTCGGCTCCAATATATCCCTCACCTGAAAAACACATAATCTTTTCTTTTATTTATTTTGTGCTGCACATCCCTAGTAGAAAGTTTACCATAGGGCAAACTATATAGTGGAAAAGTAGATAAAAAAACCAACAAAAAGGAAGGACGAAGGGGGAAAAGGTCAGATAATCGCTACAATGTAAGAACAGTACAGTGAGTGACACCACATAACTTCCCCCTCTCCTGAGAATACCCACTGCCGTTCTGAGACCCAGGGAGGAGAAGGCTGAACTCGGATCACTTCTAATTTCCCACCTGGCTTGCTTCTACAGGTAGGAAGGACTTCAGCTGTATCGGTGTGGGGTGGGCGGTATTCTGAGCCTGAAGCTGGTGGTTTAAGCCACCACTCAAGGCCCACACGGGCTGAACTCTCCAACCCCCCCCCCCAGCTACTCAGAAACATCATGGCAGGAGGAATCCCAAGGCCCAGTTCTAAAAGCTCCCAGCACTGAATCCCCCTCTCCGCCATGCAAGACGACAGGAAATCTGGGAAGGGAATGGGGTTATATGGAGCTGTTCCTGTACAGTTAAAAAAAGAGAGATTAAATGTTTAAGGGGGGGAATTAACTTTGCCCTTTTATGTTTGCAATCAGGACTCCAAAGGATCCCAGTTACAGAAGTATTTAGTCAGCTCTGACCACATCTAACACCTGAACAATCATGTTTGCATCTAAAAATCTGATTCATTTTGAAAGCCTATGAAGATGCAGTGAAAAGCTTACATGCAACCTTTGCTCCCCATTAATGGGCAATACCCTGCAAATGTTATGAACACTCAATAGCCAACAGACGACTGATCCTTCGAAACAGCGATTGAATTAGTGGTAACTGCAATCAGCAAGGACAGGAGTCCTCATTCTGAAAGGCACTGGAGTAAAAACCTTACCGTGCCTATGGGACTAGGGGAACTAGTGATTAAAATGTTAATTTGCTGCCAGGGGATGTAGTGATGGCCACAGGAATAAACAGCTTTAAAGGGGGATTAGATAGATTCGTGAGGGATAAGTCTCCCAATAGCTACTAGCCATGGTGACTGAGGGGGACCTCTACATCTAGAGGCACTAAGCCTCTGAATCCCAGAGCCAAAAGGCAACATCAAGGGAAGACCTCAGCCTCTGTGCCCTATTGCTGACTGTACAGAGGAACTGGTTGGCTACTGTGTGAGACACGATGCTGGACTAGATGGACCACTGGTCTGACCCAGCAGAGCTCTAAGTTCTTGTGTTCTTGACTAATATGCAAATAGTGTTTAATGCCTATATTAAATGTTGTTGATTTGGTGACAGCTTTTAAACAAAAAAACACCCATTTCGCTGTGGCTTTCCCTTGTGGTAAACATCCTTTTTTTAAAAAAAAATATTTGCTTAACAACACATTCATTAACTGCAACGTGGAGCAACATTTCTGAAGGGCTGGATAAAATGTAAATGCCCGTCGCCCCAGTAGCCTTGACAGAACATGCATGTAAGCAGACAGTACTTAACATAAAGATGCCAGTTAGGCTGGTTAAGAAAATACTGAACAGAATGGAAAGGTTCAAGATGTGCCTCATACCTTGCTGGTAGATGCCTTGTAAGTAGTCTTTAATTTCTGAGAGAGCTGACTGGTGCTATGACTGGCTGTAGAGACAAATATATTGAAAGATTTCAAAAAGAAACTTGGTCATTTGCTTACTCAAGAATTGGTGCTATACCCTTCTATTACATCACTAGCCCAAGATTTATGAAAGGCATGTTTGTCAACGTACCTTTAGTTTTCAGCTGTCCCTTGCTGAGTTCTGCTCCATCAATGGTTTGGCCTTCGGCTGCTAAGCGCTCATTAAGTGTATCAATCTCTCTACGTACTAGCGGTGGCATAAAATGTCATATTAATGCAGACAGTAAGTATGTTTTTGCAACATTCAAATATAAATTCAAATATAAATAAATAAACACTTACATTAACCATCCCAGTTTCCCTGCAGTATTTACAAAGCCTAAACTCTGCAAGCTGCAGATTACATACAGCATGGTTTTTTTCCAGTTTGCATCTCCTCGATGGTTATCTATGTACTCTGTATAAACTATTTTCCATTTGTGTTATCAGCAGCCTCCAAACCCAGATTTAAAAATTCACACTGAACTTGGCTATGAGGAATTAGCTTTCAAGTCAGGTTTCTGAGAAGGCTGGTAATGATGGAAACAGCTGTCAGAACAACTTAAATTCAGGAAGGATTTTCCAGTCAGCACACCAAAAAGCTTATCTTTGCATTCAATTCCCTCCATTTCAGAAACAATGAACATACCATTAGAGCTGTGTCATGTTATTGCCAAGTAGAAAGAACATTCGTACTCGGGAATAGCAAGCTTGAATCAATACACCAAGTAATGAGTGAGAACCTCGGCACTGTTTGGAGGCCGATGCACGCACTGTTTGGCAAGCATGTATTTGTTATTTATTCAGTTTCTCTGCTGTCTTTCTACTAAACTAGCGGCTATGTTCAAGGCATCAAACACAAATATTGTTGTTATGCAGAGTACATACACATCTTTTAATAGTTCTTGATGAGTTCCTGATTTCACTAGACGATGGCTACTCTATAGCTTAAAATAGCCATTGTAAAATGAAATCAGGAACTCAACATGAAATGTTACAAGGTACCTGATTGCTCTTCCTCTTTTGAAAAACAGTACTATACACCTGACAGACAGCACTGGCTTCAACACATATATATTTGTATTACAATCCCATTAAGTTAAGAGGCATGAGATAATGTTAACAAAGGGGATGTCAAATAAGTATGCCTTGTAGATAGATGCATCAAGTAAACTTGGGACATATAATGGTTCATACTCATTTAATGGCTCAGCATCATTTACAATAACAAAGTTCCAGAACAGCTAGATTTGAGACCAATAGCACCTTAGAGAACAACAAGATTTTTTGGAGCATAAGCTTTCAACAGTCAAAGCTTGCTTCATCAGATACCGTCTGAATGGAGATCTGAGGGGTGTTGCAAAGAACGAACGCAGGGTGCAGAGGTACAATGCATAGTGTAATCAGCTTGATTTTAGAGCAGAGGGGAAATGCTTGGGGCATAAAATTAGCATCTGCAGTGAGATAAGAATCCTATGTCCCTATTCAGCCCGGGGGGGGTCCGTTGTTCTGAACCTGTGAATAAATTCAAATCAGCAATCTCATGTTGTAATCTCCCTTTGAAGCTTCTCTGTTTGAGAACTATCAGCAAAAGAATGACCTGAAGGATTAAAATGTTCTCCCACTGAGTTTTGAGTGTTTTGGTGTTTAATGTCAGATTTATGTCCATTTATTTGTCTGCATAGGGGCTGACTTGTTTGTCCTATGTAGACACTGTAAGAAGACCACTGACATTTGATGGTGTATATAACATTGGAAAATGAACAACTGAATGAACCTGAGAAGAAAGTTTTGGCTGATGGTGTTAAGTCACATGACTGGGCTGTCAGAGTGAATATGGGGACAGAGCTGGCATCTTGGTTTGTTGCAGGCCCCAGTCCCAGAGTCCGTGCCCATCCTTGTTGTGGATGAGAAATTCTTTAAGATTAGGAGGCTATAAGAAGAGGTTTGCCTCCCGATGCCTGTGAGACAGGAGTATCATTTGACCTGAGAGCTGTATGTGACCACCAGTGGTGTCCTGGGGTTGTTTCGTTTGGACCCATCTTGTTGCAGGTTATCCCTTGGTATCATGCTGGCTTTGTTGATCTGTTTCCTTACTACATCAGGTGAGTACTGTAGTTTCAAGAATTCTGTTGTAGATGCTGCAGGTGAGAATCTCTGTCTGCGGGATCAGAACAGATGCCGCTGCAGCGTACAGCTTGCCTGTAAATGATGGATCATTTGGTGTGTTTGGGATGGCGACTGGAGGCTTGCAGACATGTTTGGTAATCAGTAGGTTTCTAGTATAAGGTGGTTTTTATTCCTCCATTATGTATTTGTACAGTGGTGTCTAGAAAATGTACTTCTTGCGTGTATTCATTCATGGTCAGGTTGATGGTGAGGTGGATGTGGCTGAAGGCCTAGTGAAATTTTTCCAGTGCTTCTTTCCTATGTGTCCAAATGATGAAAATGTCATTAATAAATCTCAGGACAAAGAAAGATATTAATGGATGGGAGCTGAGGAAGCGCTGCTCCAGGTCAGCCATGAAAATGTTGGCCTATTGTGGTGCCATGCGGGTGCCCATGACTGTGCCATTCATCTGAAGACACAAATCTTCACCAAATTCTGAAATAGCGGCGGGTGAGGACAAACTGGCAGGCTGACCATGGTGTTGTCAGAGATGGTGCTCCTAATAGCTTGCAGTCCATCTTTGTGGGGGATGTCGGTGCATCCTCAACATCCATGGAGACCAAAATAGTCTTTCCTAAAAGATTGTTAACCAATCGTATTTTTCTCAAAAGTCTGGTGTCTTGAAGGCATCGAGTCTGAGAATAGAGTCAATGTGTCCAGACACCCCTATAGAGATGGCGCCTATGTCTGAGACAACAGGATGTCCTGGGTTGCTAGGCTTATGTATTTTGGACAGAAGATAGAAAATGCCTAGTTTTGGTTCTTGTGGTGTGTCCATATGGATCTGTTCATCTCCGTGGGTGAATAATCCCTTCATAATCCTGTTTAGTTCTGTTTTAAGGCTGAACAGGGACACAAGATTCTTATTTCACTACAGATACAGCACCTCTCCTCTGCATCCTGAATTTCTCCGCAACACCCCTCCCACCTTCTGACTGGGATATCAGGACACAAGAGATCTCCATTCTGACTGTTCCTGACAAAGAGGGCTTTGTTTCAGATGATTAACTGTGCTGGTCTGCAGTAGGACAGCTGGATTCGATTCCAGTAGCATCTTAGGGAGCAACAAAATTTTTTTGGAGGGGTATATGCTTTCAAGAGTCAGAGCTCATCAGACAAAGGGAGCTTTGATTCTTGAAAGCTCATAACCCTGAAAATCTTGCTGGCCACCCTCTGGAACTAACTTCACGAAAGGCCCAGAACAACCTTGTGGATCAAAACTCCCTTAAAAATCTTTCCTGTAGCTAAGATATTATACCAGCAGTGCCCCAAAAGGAAGATATGTAAAGATCAACTCACATTCAAGATTTTCGATGTAGAGATTCTCAAATTCTCTTTCTATTTGGCCAAAGAGATCCAGAAGTGTATTTCTGACAGATGTCGGCAGTTTGGAATCCTAGAGGGGAGGAAACTATCACATATCAAAGTTATAGGGAAGTCTGACAACTTTTTTGCTCGCCATGGCGTTTTGCATGAACCCTGCTATTTGCCCATTCTGAAATGTTTTCATTTTAAAAAATCCTACACTGACAGGCTTTTTGAAAATGCTATGCACTTCACCAGCATAGAAATCAACACTCCCCCCAAAAATGACCAAATAGGATCAAAGGATGGTTGCAGAAGTCACTCTGGAAGCATGACTGTTCTGATCAATGGCACTGCAAAACATAGATGATAAAGATGCTGCTGCTTTTCACATTGGAAAGAACCAGCACCCACATACGAATGAGTGAAAAAAGGACAAAGAAGAGACGAAGAGGTAAATTATGTAGCAGAGCTTCTCTGGGACATGTGCTCCTATCTATGGCAGGAAACAAACTGAGGATCTGGGTGAACCCACTGCCAGAGACAGGAAGTTTGAGTTGCCCTGCGCCTGTCTAGTTGGTGGGAATCACCCATGATAAGATGCCCTCCCTCTCAGAGTGAGAAGAACTCTGAAGCCGAACCTAATGTCAAACCAGTAAACAGTTCCTTGTTATGCAACAGACGTTCTGATAGGCACGAACCTGCTCACAAATGGGTCTCACCATTTACGCAATGTTTCCTACACTGGTCACATGAGTGCAGTCAAAGATCACTAACACTTTTTTCATAGCAACCACACAAAAAAAGGTAACTGACACCCCTCCTATACACTTTTGACGCTAACAAAAACATTTACAAACTGGCTTCCCCTATTCTGGCTAGTGCTATGAATGCAAATGGATGTGTGTGCAATACTGTATGCTCCCATTAAACTGAAGCAAGAATTCAAAACACATGGATTTTCTGCACAAATCAAGCATTCAATCACTATGCAACAGTCTGCTTAACTGCTTACTCTACACAACAAACAGAATCTCTCTCTTTTTTGCTAGAGCTTCTAATAAAACCTCAGGCTTTTTACACAAAGAAAAAAAGATGGGACAATAACACATGAGAATAAGGCAGTCATCTGAGTAATAAGTCAAAGGGTCCACTAACAAAAACTCAGCAAGATCACAGAAACACAAGCAGAATGATCCAGACTCCACTGAGATCACTCATAAGAACATAAGAACATAAGAGATGCCAATGTTGGATCAGGCCAAAGGCCCATCCAACCCAACACTCTGTATCACACAGTAGCCAGAAATACCAGTGCCATCAGGAGGTCCACCAGTGGGGCCAGGACATTAGAAGCCTTCCCACTGTTGACCCCCCCCCCCAGCACCAAGATGACAGAGCATCACTTGCCCCAGAGTCCCTATCTATACCTTGTGGCTAATAGCCATTGATGGACCTCTGCTCCATATGCTTATCTAACATGTAACACTCATGTAACAGCTACTGACTGCAACAGATTTATAGTCCAGATTTACTCCAGTTTAAGTTTAGACTAGAACACCTCTATACAGGATTGCAAATATCAGACTGTGCCTTTGTTGCTATTCAACTATAAATTATTAGTCAAATAGACTCAGACTTTTACTACACAGATGCAACACAGTATCTATTTACCCTTGGCATTGCCTTTGGTACTATTTCCATTTCCATCCAATGTTACAAAGAACTGCACACAGCAAAATTAGCCAGGGGGTTCTCCCTTTCAAGCTGTTCAGGGACAATCTTCTGAGAGTAGGCAGACTGGTTGCCACTTTCATTTACTCAAAGTCTGACAGCATAATTAATAAAAATTTCATAAGTTACACACACACAAAGTCATGTGCGTAACAGGCTACAACCCTAAAACCATTTAAAGATGTTGTGAATATTTCAGTTGCAGATGAGATACCAGATCTAACATTTGTGTCTTTCTTGTTTATCGCTCAGTGACACAAAAAGCTTCCTTCTGTGGACACGTATGAATTCAAGTTCCCAAAGTGAAGCAAGCCTTCCCTCAAGAAAGGTCACTCGGAAAACCAGAGAGGCTTACCACGTTATCCTAAGCAGAGTTACACCCTTTTATGTCAGCTGAAGTTAATGGGCTTGAACAGAATAAGCGTACTTAGGATGGGACATGGATTTTTGAAGGCCCCCCCACCCTTTTAGTGGGGGGACTGACATTTAGAAGAAAATTGAAATATATGCAATACATACGTTCCTAAAAAGCCTCATCTTATTTTAACAATAAACTCCACTATGGGTGCCTGTTAGGTTAGTCAATTCCCCCTCAATTGTATGTGTGTGGCCCTAGGAAGAGATTGTAATAAACTGTATATGTAAAACCGCTCAGAGCCCTTAGGGGGTGAGCGGTCTACAAATCGAAAGAATAAATAAATAAACAAACAATATAAAACTCAGCATTTACAACTGAGCTAGCATATAAAATTGTACTACTTGGCATAGCTGCAGTGGAATTTGAAAGTATTGTCAGACTCCACCTCCTGTGGGTCAGAGTCCAGGGCATTAGCCCTTCGGCATACCTCCTGGGCTCAGCCTTGGGTGGACCTCAGTTTGTGAAGAAGAGGGGGGGTTCCGCCTCACCTGGGGCCTTCTCTCTCTGGCTCTGTACCTCTCCCTCGGCTTCAGGGGAGAGGCCTGGCTCTTCCTCACCCAGCCCTCTCTGAGCCGACCTATAAAAGGACTGTCCAGGGGCGGCTCCTGCAATCCCCGCATTCCTGCGGCAGGGCTTTGGGGGGTGATGGGAACCGGTACTGTTGACTCTCTTGCTGGGCCTCCTCCTTGGCTGCTCTGCTCTCACCCGAGATCAAAAGGGGCCATGTCTACAGCCAGCACAAGCCAAAGGGAGCCATAGCTGCCACTGACAGCTTTGTCTGCTAGCTGCTCTGCTGGTGTGCCCGCCAACTGCCCACCCAGCTCTGAGATTGGGCATGCCTAAACCCCAGCAGCCCCTGGGCATGCCCAAGGGTTGCCAGTGCTCTCACCATCTACCCTGAAGGTCTCCCCGGAGCCTGTAAGTGCAGGGGCTGGATTGCTGACCCTGGACAAGTATTTTCTACAAGTAAAATTGCAAATATAACCAGTATTGGAGAGCTGTAAACGGCTTAGGCTTAACCATATGCTGCCTTAGCAAAGGCAATTTAATATTTGCCGCCTGAGAGGTAGTGACAAAAATGAATGTAGAAATTAGAAAACAAATTCTGGATTAAACAAAAAGTATGTTATTCAGCTTACAGTCGCAATAGGACTTTCAATGTATCTGGATATAATGTTAAACTGTGTACATGGAAAACATCTGATTTTGTGCTTAGACTTCTTTTTCTGTGGAGGTGGTTCTGAGGAACAGATGGCGGCTTCAGTGCCAAAAAGGGCTCCGGCTCCAGCATTGAGCCCAAAGAGGGAGCATGAGCTAGGAGTCTGTTATTTGCTCGGAGCTCCCAAAGCCTTCTCCCACAAAAAAAGCCTTCAGTCTGGCGGTTTGTTCTTGCGGGGCCTTGAGTGTGAACTGTTTGCATATAGAGCAGGCAGTGACGCTGTGGGACTTGCTAAGGCACTGAGGGCAAGGGTCACGGTCATCTGACTGTGCCATTTTTAGACAACACTTGGGGCATTTTTTGAAGAGAGCCACATTTGGAAAAACGAAGTAATACTGTATGTCTCGGTTTTTTACTTTTAAAAAAAGGCCTCAGGAGTCCTCAAAAAACACCCCTTCAGAACTCGAAGAGTCAGAAACCAAGGCTTACGAGGCACCGATGAATGACTAGTAATATTTTTATATTTTTTAAAACTCACTGGCCAGAGTAAAGAGAAGAGAAGAAAAAAATGCCAACCAGAAGTTGAACAGTCTGAGGGAAGGAGAAGAGCTAAAGAGAGAAATGTCCTATCTCCACGTCAGTGAAGAAAGGGCTGAGGGAAGGAGCGCTCTCCTTGCCTCTGTCACGTGCCGGTGGGGAGGACTCCAGCTCACTTCCAAGGAGAGAGGGAGGGCTCGGAACGTTCTAGAGGGAGCTAGAATGCTTTGGAACTGATCTCCACAAGCAGGCCTGCACAAGCACAGTCCCACGTGGGACTGCACAGAAGCCACGAAAATGAACTAGGAATTACCCAGTGCTCTAATTATCATGCTACACATTTTCAGTCAATAAAACTTTATCTTTTTTTTTTTAATTTTAATTAAATTTTATTTTCATTATAAAATAGGATACATAAAAGTTCAGAATAATGACAATAATGGCAAACTTGTATCAAGGTAGGTAACATCAAAAATCAGAAAAAATACAATTGCTTGTTTTAAAAAATAGAAGACTATACTTTCCACTCTAAGATCAAGGAGTAGAGCAAAGATCAACAAACGTTTGGCATAAGGGTGCTAACTAAGTATCCAGTATATGTACAACTAGCAAATCAGCTATATTTTAATAAAACTTTATCTTAAAAAGCATTTAGCTCATTCTGAAAGAGAAGATATTCTACAGGAGTTTTCTTCCCCCACTGCTTCTTATACCTTTCCAAATTTTCCATTGGAAAAACCGGGGGGGGGGGGGGGGGGGATCTTGAATGCTGTCCAGTTCTTTTCTAGACCTTCACATCTCTAGTGAGGCTTAGGCAGTGCTTTATCTAGAGGTCTACAAGAATTGAGGCATTATTTATACTCAAGCAACTTTAAACTCAGGAGCTGCGGTGGCTCAAGTGGTCAACAGTGTTCCGTGCGCCTTGGTGTTTAGTCATGCCGGCCACATGACCACGGAAACGTCTTTGGACAGCGCTGGCTCTTCGGCTTTGAAACAGAGATGAGCACCGCAACCCTAGAGTCGGACTCGGACTCGACTGGCTTTCGAGCAAGGGAACCTTTACCTTTACCTTACTTTAAACTAAAACAAACAACATTTTCACAATTTCACTTCATGTGTCAAATGTTGGTGTTATTACTGTTGTTGTTGTTGTACGGCATTCTGTGTAGTATAGCCAGGAGATCTTGAGATTGTCTAGCAGCCAGGAGTTCTAGCACTTTTAGTGTTATGCACCACAAGGTGGTGAGCTAGACTTGTTTTTAAGGCAAGACACATGCCAGAGGTGGTTTGCCATTGCCTGCCTCTGTATCACGACCCTGGTATTCCTTGGAGGTCACCCTTCCAAATACTAGCCAAGGCCGACCCTGCTTAGTTTCTGAGCAGGGTGGATAAAAATCAGTGTTTGGGGTTTTTTACAAAAACAAAACAAAACCCTGATGAAATCAAGACTAGTTTGGGCTAATATGGCTGCTACTCATGAGGGTATATATAACTTCCCAGGAGCTCCTATGATAAACACCCATTCAGCCCACAAAACAAATTTAACAGTTGCCTGGATTCCACAATATTTCCACAAAGGAGTACTTGTTTGATTTTGTACACATGGAATTCACTGCCACGGGAAGTGGTGGCGGCTACAAGCATGGACGGCTTCAAAAGGGAATTAGATAGGCATATGGAGCAGAGGTCCATCAGTCGCTATTAGCCGCAAGGTATAGATAGGGGCTCTGGGGCAAGTGATGCTCTGTATTCTTGGTGCCTGGGGGGGGGGTCAACAGTGGGAGGACTTCTAGTGTCCTGGCCCCACTGGTGGACCTCCTGATGGCACCTGGTATTTTTGGCCACTGTGTGACAGAGTGTTGGACTAGATGGGCCTTTGGCCTGATCCAACATTGGCGTCTCTTATGTTCTTATGTACTTCTGATAAAAATGAAAACTTTGTGCTCGTTTTTCTGCCTACAAATAAGCAACAGAGCAAACTATGTGCTGGATTTGGACATGAGACATTATGACTCAATTCTCAGCTCAAATGTGAAACACAGACCTGGACTCAACCCCTGTCTTTCTGTCTGAATGTTTTTAAAGAGAAG